GGGGGGGGGGTGTAGGAGTTACCCTTAGAAACTAGTTAACCACGAAAAGGGGTCTGTGATGTACCCATGGAAGTGGTGTTAATGTTGCCTGAAAGGAATTCAGAGGCTGAGGTGGTTGGAAGCTTGATGAGGTGGCAGCTTGAAGGATGGGGGTGGAGGGGCGGGGGAAGGTGTTGGAGGGACAGAGAAGTTGGCAATGGGCACAGAGGCTGGGTTGTTAGGGTTGTGATGTTAGGGTTGCAGGAGTCTGCCCAAATGAAAGCAGAATGTTTGTATAGGAAATGGCTGTACAGCACAATCTGAGGTTAGATGGGAAAGGCAGGAGAGACACTCAGAAAGGGATGTGTTCAGGGCAGGGTGGGGGTGCTTTGGCGAACTCTATATTGCCATTGGAGACCATAGGGTCCCCTAGACAGATGTCCCCAACTCCTGTTCCTTAGTCTCAGGAAGAACTTAGAGTTTTCATCTATAACAGCAGCAAATGTGATGTTCTTGTGGGGTGGGGGGTTCTCTTTAAAATGCACGTTAGGATGTTAAAGGCTCTGAGAAGTCCTGCAGGGAAGAGCCTGCTTACTTTTAACTCAGCACACTCCAAACACATTTGGCCTCAGAACGCTTTTTTTTTTGTGCTGGGACCAATATTCCAAAGAACACTGTTGGGAAACACTGCTGTAGGGGAAAGTTTGTGGGCTTTGGTATCCAACAGGCTGTGGTTCTACTCCCGCTCTGTGACCTAGTCAGCGTTGGACCTTGGGCAAGTCACGTTGCTTCCCAGAGCCTCCTTTTTCTCAGAGTCACTGTGAGAATTAGGAAACATATGTGGGTAACTTGCACATGGTTAGCTGGCTCTCTGGTTTTGCTGCGTTCCCTTCCTGTGCTAGGCCCAGCCCTGCCTCTTCTCTTGAGTCCGGCTCCCTACATTACAGGCGCCACGTGGACTGCTGGAGAGGTGGTCAGGTAACGGACTTGGTGAAACTTTGATTGGACTTCTCCCCTGGTACCCGCATTGGCCCTGGCACAATAGACAACAGAAACACCGAAATGAACATGGAGGGTAGGATCAAGCCTCCAGAGGCCCAGCCAAGTCCTGGCCTGAGAACCACCAGCAAGACAGCTGGCGTTGAGTCCACCATATCAGGAGTCAGCCAGGTAGGGACCTGCACCTTATGTTCTTACCCCTCCACTCCCGAAGACACTTTTCCCCTCCTTAGCCCAGGCTTCCTCCACAACTGCTCTAATTAACATTCAGTTATAAGTGACACAAAACCCAATTCAAACTGGATTAGGCAAGAAAGAGAACACATTAGCTTGGGTAACTGACAAATCTACCAGTAGACTTCAGGTATAGTTGGATCAAGGTGCTAAGCAAGTGTCTCTTGGCTCTTCCTTCCATTGTGCCATTCCCAGGTAGGCTCTCTCTGCAAGATGGCAGGGATTGCCCTGGTCGCTACAGGTTTCCATCTTCCGAGCTTACATCCTCTGACTTAGCATCCCCAGCAGGAAGAGAGCCTCTTTGCAATAGTTGAGGAAAGTCTGGTATCACTGTCATTGGCCCAGACTGTGGTCACATACTCATCTGAACCAGTCACCATGGCAGGGCTGAGTGGCCTGGATCTCTTGGTATAATGGAGCCAGAGATGGTACTCAGGTGGCTCCACTGAGCCCCACTGGCTGAATGGGAAAAGGGAGGTTCCCATAAAAAGAATGCTGGCTTCTGTTGCCAGAGAGATGCTCGGGGTGCAAAATAAGAATTGCCTTCTGTGGCCTCCAGTTCCCCTGTTTCACCTTTATTCCCTGACAGCTGCTCAAGGCTCCCATCTGCGCCCCTCCCCAGGCCCCAGCCTGCCTCCTAAGCCTCCACCTCACCTCTCAGCCTCTTTCCATCAATTTTTTTAAGTGCCAAATGCCATGAACTGAGGAGCACAGAGAAGACCCTCCACTTCATCTAGTTTCTTCAGAGCCAAAAACATCACTATAAAAAAAAGCCATTCCCTTGCATTAAGTAGCATCCTCTCCCTGTAGTCTCTGTTATAAATCATGGCTTCCCCCGGGGCCTGGAAGAGGCCCTGAAGGGGGAGTCTTAAAGGGAGGCTGGGACAAACATTCAGGGTTTCCTTCACCCACCCATTCATTTTTCTCAACGAGCATTGTCAGGGGCTCCAGTTCTGCCACTCAACCAGCCGCATGACCTTGGGCACCCCTTCATGTGCATCATGGTGAGGACTGACTGGGTGAAATCCCTGAGGCACCTGGCACAGGCCCTCACCTCCTGGTCGGTGCCCTTAATGTTGGCTCACATCAGAATCTTATAACAATTATCAAGTGATTGAGCCAGGTTGTCCCCAGTTCGCTGACTCAAGTGAGGTTTGGAGCTGGCTCTGTCACCAGTTCACGGTTACCCAGCTAAGAAGTGATAGACCAAGATGGGCGTCACAACCCAGTTCCAGAGCCTGAGCTCTGGAGTAATGGAAATTGTGGAACTCTCTCTCAGACCTCAGGAGGGTCTTGAAGTCCCCCAGGGTGCTCTTTCAAGCCATCCTTTGTGGATACCCTTGGCCCAAGTGCTACTCGGGACTTCATCTTCATTCCAGAGCCACGACAGCCTCTCAGCTGGGTCTGGCTCTGCACCCCAGCCTCTCTCTCCCTGCCTCTTATCTCCTTCCCCTCCCCCAACATTCCCCCGGTTAGGCACAGAATCTCCCCCCTGAGGCTGGGACAATGCCCACGAGTGCGGGAAACCCTCCATCCAGAATGAGGTGGCAGCGCCATGGGCATCTTTGTTTCAGGTCATGTTTCAAGATGCTGCAGGAACAGGCAGTGGGAAAGACCCCTCATCAGCCTCAGAAGGGCCAGAGAAGGAACCCGGGCACGGAGAAGCATCAGAGGAGGTGCTTCCAGAGCTCAGAGCCCCTGAGCAGAGGCATCCAGCATACTCAGGGTGAGCTGGGGGCTTCCCACACAGCAGGTCCAGGAGAGAATCCTGCCCCCTGTGACCCACCTGGGGCAGGGGGAGAGGGGAACAAGAACTCCTAGGCCAAAGCGAACCCCCTCAGCCACAGCACCTGAACTTCTCTTTATTACACAAATCACAATAAGTCATTATTTGTGTTAGCCTTTGTCTGAGCTCCCCTGTTGTACCACAAGCTTCTGTTATGTGTCTTGTTCAGCCGTAGGTCCCTCATGCCTGGGACTATGCCTGTCACATAATAGATGCTCAATAAATATGTATTCACTGAGTTAATAGAAGAATGAACAAAAGAGAGGCTGTACAACACGGAAACACACACTTATATGGAATTACTGTTATTATTTTCTAAATATTGTACGTTTTTAAACTTGTCTGCAGTGAGAACATATTCTTTTTAAAAAGAGAAAATCAAGCGAGAGCCAGAGAGAGGCAAAGTGAAAGACTTGGGAAATAGGAATAGTGAAGACTGGTCAGCTTATCGTTTAAATTTGACTATAACCAAAAACCTCTAAATAATCTCTTCTACATGAAAAGTTAAGGGACTCAGTAAAAGCCGGGTGTGAATCCCCCGAGACAGTATATCATGCTGGTGGAAATGTAAACCATTTCAACACATCTGCTTAAACAACGTGGCAAGTTGTTTAAACTGAGTTAAAACTGTCTTTCCCTTCACCCATTGCTAGAAATAGGCCCTAAGGAAATAATTGGAGAGTCAAGCAAAATTTTATGCAGAAAGATTTTCACTGTCGCATTATTGTAAACACTAAAAAATTGGAAATGGCAATGTGCTTTAAATGCCCACAGCTGGGGAGTGGTTAAATAAATTATGATTACCTATAAAATATGGAGTTTTATGCTTTCATTAAAAAAGCGTGTTTATGAAGGATTTTGGGCATGGGGAAAATTTAGTCTATCATGGTAAATGTGAAAAAGGTTGCAAAATTGCACACGCAAGATAATTTTAACTATGCAAAATTATGCAATTACTTGAAGGTGGTAATTAAATAAATCCCCATTGCAAATATGTTTGTATATCCACAGGAAGAAGCCTGGAGGAATTACTCCAAAATACTCAAGTGAGATCGATAATCACAGATTCAAATCCTGAATCAGTTCTCTCTGACTTCTCTTTTTTCCCCAAAAACCAATAAATAATAATAAAAACCTTAAATCTTAAATCCCCTAAACATTGACATCAAAGTGTCTGTAATTTGGGGACGTCATGTCAGTTCTCCGTTTGTTCTCCCAGGCCTTAAGTATGCACCTACGGTGTGCCTCATCCTGTACAGGGGCTCTGGGAACTACAAAGAAGTACAAGAATATAAAACTAGGCCCCAGTCCAGGAGCTGAGGTGTCCCTTTGTCTGTTCTCCCCAGGCAGAAGCAGTCATCTTGGGCCCCCCAGGAAGGGCCCGAGGAGCCGCAGGCAGGCCAGGATCAGGCCAAGCCAGGAAGTGAGCTGCGGGTGCTGCCTTCCAAGGTCCCCACTGCACATGAAGAGATGCAGAAGCAGGGGTCAGAGAAGGAGACTGAGGACCTGCAGGAGAGACAGCAGAACCCAGGGACCGTGGAGTGTCAGGCCCCTGACAGCTGCCAGGTAACGTCAGCAGAGACCTGGGCAGGAGGGCATGGAAAGGCTGACTCACAGGGGAGCCGAAGGAGGCCCGCTCCCGTGTCCCCCATTCTGGTGCACGGGTGTCTGCTCCTCTCTGTGCCCTGGAGATGTCAAGCATGCAGCCTGTGTGGGTCACTGGGATATTCTGGATAGTCATTGGTTGTCCACAGCAAGCCTTTAAAACGTGTTTCCAACGGTATGTCAATGGTGCTAGAGGCAGGGGGGAGGTGTGTGTGTGTGTATGGGGGGGGGGAGGATTCTGATACAATTAAAATTGGGGCATGCTGGGTTTAACGAAGCTCAAACAGGTTTTTTTATGCCAGGATATTCTAGAAACTGTCTTAGCTGCTGAGCATTGTGAGATCTTGTAAGAGACAATTAGAGTCAGGTGCCTTTTCTAACTTATTTCACCACAAAATACCTTTTTCCTTGTGTTCATTTTAAGATTTTGTGTTTCTTTTTCTTTTTCTTTTTTTTAAGGATTTTATTGGGGAATTGGGGAAGGGAAACAGTGTTGGGAAATTGGGGAAATGGGAACAGCCAAGTTGTTGTCCTTCAATCTTAGTTGTGGAGGGCGCAGCTAGCTCAGCTCCAAGTCCAGTCGCCATCCGGCCGCTGGTCGGCGGCTCGCAGCCACTCAGCTTGTGTTCAATCTTAGTTGAGGGCAGGTGTAGCCCACAATCTCATGAGGGAGGCGAACCGGCAACCTTGTTGTTAGGAGCATGTGCCCTCGCCAGCTGAGCCATCCTGCCACCTGTTGGCAGCTCAGCGGCAGCTCAGCTCGGGCACAGCTCACTGGCCCATGTAGGAATCGAACCGGTGACCCTGTTGCTCAGAGCTTGTGCTCTTAACCAACTGAGTCACTCAGCCCAAGGTTGTGTGGTGTTTTTTTTTGGTTTTTTTTAAAAGATTTTTATTGGGGAATTGGGGGGATGGGAACAGTGCTGGGGAATTGGGGGAAGGGGAACAGACAAGTTGCTGTCGTTTTGTTCTTCAGTCTAATTGTGGAGGACGTTGCTTCACTGGCCCAAGTTGGCACCATCATTGCGCTCTTCCTGGGCGAGGCAGATTAGTCGCCGGCTTCTGGACAGCCGTTCACTGCAGCTGCTGGCTGCTCACGCTGGCTGCTGGCTACACACGGTAGCCCATGGCAACCCACTGCCACAGGAACTGCAGCCTACGCCGTCGCTGGTGACTCACAGCAGACCAGCTCCAGGTTGAGCTGTTGTTCAGCATCTTAGCTGTAGAGGGCAGTGTCACTGACCCTCATATGTGGGATCTGAACCGGGGCCCTCTGGCGTCCCAAGCCAGTTCTTAACCATCGCGCCACTCGGCCAGCCCAAGGTTGTGTGTTTTTAAACAGCTTCAGTGAGGTATAATTGACATACACTTGCACACACTTCAAGTGTACAGGTTGATGTTTTGGACATATGCATATACACCCACGAAATCATCACCATAATCAAGAAAATGAACATATCCATCAGCCCCCCAAAAGTTTCCTCGTGCTCCTTTGTCATCATCCCTTCTCCAACCCACCGCCCATCCCCAGGCAACCACTGGTTTGTGTGCTGTTTGTATATCCTATAGATTTGTTTGTATATCCTAGAATTTTACATAAATGGAAACATACAGTATTCATTCTTTTTGTCTGGCTTCTTTCACTCAGCACGATTATTTGGAGATTCCTCTGTGTTATTGTGCGATCCATACCTCTTTCTTTTTGTTGCTGAGTAACAGTCCATTGTATGGATATATCACAATTTCTTCAACCCTGTACCTATTGATGGACACTTCGTTTGTTTCCACTTTTTGGCTATTACAAATAAAACATTCGTGTCCATATGGCCACATGCTTTCACTTCCCTTGGGCAAATAAATGCTTAGAAGTGGAATGGATCATATGTATGGTATGTGTATGTTTAACTTAAGAACTGTCAAACTTTTCTCCAAAGTGGTTGTACCATTCTACATTCCCATCAGTAATGTATGAGAATTCCAGTTGCTCCACGTCCCCCACCCCAGATTGGCATAGTCCATTTTTTTTAATTCTAAGCATTCTAATAGGTGTGCCGTGTGTAGTGGAATCTTGTGATCTTAATTTGCATTTCCCTAATGACTAATGATGATGAGTATCTTTTCATGTGCTTATAGGCCATTTGTATATCTTCTTTGGAGAAATGTTTATTCAAATACTTTGCCCATTATCTTAATTGGATTAGTCATTTTATTGTTGAATTAATTGTAAGAGTTCTTTATATACTCTGGATACCAGACTCTTATCAGATATCTACTTTGTGAATTTTTCCTTCCACCCTATGGATTGTCTTTTCACTTTCTGCCCTTTATTTTTTTAATTGGGTTGTTTGTTTTCTTATTATTGAGAGTTCTTATATATTCAGAATACAAGTGCTATATCATATATGTAACTTGTAAATGTTTTCTCCCAGTCTGTGAACTGTCTTTCCTATTCTCTTAACAGTGACTTTCAAAGAACAAAAGTTCTTAATTTTGATGAAGTCTAATTTATCAATTTTTCTTTTATGGCTTGTGCTTTTGGTGTTATTTCTTAGAAATCTTTGCTTAACCCAAGGTCACATAGGATTTTCTCTCATGTTTTATTCAAGAAGTTTTATAGTTCTAAGTTTAACATTTTAGGTTTGTGATCAATGTGGCGTTAATTTGTGTATATGAAACAAGGTTCATGTTTTCATATGGCTATCCAATCATTCCAGCACCATTTGTTGAAGATTGTCCTTTCTCTGCTGAATTTTCACCTTTGTCTAAATCAGTTGACCACATAAGTGTGAGTCTATTTCTGGACTGTCTGCTTTGTTCCAGTCATGTATTTATCTCTCCTCATTCCAACGCCACACTGCCTTGATTATAGTAGCTTTATAGTAAATCTTGAAATCAGTTAGTATAAAAATCCCCTTTTTAGAGAGTGCCATGAAGAATTCTTATCCTTTGAAACATCCCTTGGGGGATCCCATTTACATAGGATCATCTCATCTTCTCCAGGCTCCATTCTACTTCCACAGAGAAGCAGGGGCTCTGACTTTGGGTAGGCCGATGCCTCCCATGGGCCTCAATTTCCTCCTTCCTCAAAATGGGGCCACCAACTTGTGTTACCTTCTAGGGGTGCTGGGAGAACTCAGTGAAATGATGCTTGCAGTGGCTGGGCCAGAGTAAGCATGTGATAACTTGTCTCCAGGTGAGTGTTGAGGTTCACCTGGGAGCCAGCATAGGGTTCCTCATTTTAGTGTCCTTGTCCTCAGCAGGGCCCAGAGTGTCAGCCCACCCCAAGTCACCAGGCAACAAATGGGTCAGATAGAGTCCAGTCAACAGAACCCTCTTGTACCTTGGACAGCTGTGGACAGCAACTGGAACACAAGTCCCCCAAGGAGGGGGACATTAGTCCCCAGGGGGCTCTGCCAGAGCCTGGTTCAGGTGGACATGAGGACAGCTTCCAGGAAGCGATGCCCCCAGTGCCCATGACAACTCCGAAGGAAAAGACTGCCAACTCCTTCCTGCCATCCACGCCAGGACCTAACACATCCGAAGGAGGGTAAGCTATCCTCTGATGCCACTCCCTATCCCACTCCCTGACCCCAAAAAGATTGTTCTTTTGCTAAGTTACAGATGAGGTGAATTCTAGTCCTGACTGCTCCTGACCTGATGTAGGACCTTGGACAAGTCATGCCTCAATTTCCCCATCTGCAGAATAGCTCTGATACCAGAATTCTTTGTCCTGTGGGTCTATACTCTAAGGGTCATGTCCCCACATGGGTATGTGAGGGAATGAGGAGCCCCTCTGAGATTAGAAAGCCGGGGGAATGAGACTGGGGTGGTGGGACCTCAGTGTCCTAGGAGCTGAGAGAAGGTGGGTGCAAGGGGCAAGCCTCGAGCTGAGCCCCTCCCCACTGGGGGTTTCTCCCTTGTTTAGGGGCAAGGCTGTGGAGACCAAGCCAGTACCGGGGCCTGTTCCTCTGCCAGTAAGTAGAGCCATAGTGGAGATGTGAGGCAGGGAGATTTAGGAGGTGGAAGGGGGCAGGGGCAGAAATGGGAAAGTATTTTATAGTCAAACTGGGGAAGGGGTGAGTATGTGCATGCGTGCTTTGTGTGGGTGTGCACATGTGTACGTGTGTATGTATGTGTGTGCATCTTGGGTGGAGTCAAGGATGCTCTTACACTCTGGCGCCCTTGGGTTCACCCCAGGTCAAGGTTTTTTCCACGTCAGCATGGATTTCTTCCTCCCATTTGCTGTCAGTCACAGCATACAATCCAAAGCTTCCCTGAACGCCTGGGGGGCTTCCAATTCCCTCCCAGCCACCCCACCTCTACCAACTCTGCCACTTCCTAGTTCCTTGACTTGCCAGGGCAGCCTGTGAATACACAGTCATCATCTGCCTCTGTCTCTTTCTGCTGTACAAGTATTCACTGGCCAAACCCCAACCCTGGCTAAACCCAGCCACCCACTTACCCTCCGCCCGCACCTGAGCACATCAGCACAGTTGGAGAAGAACCCTGTCTTTTTGTTTTTTCTTTTTTTGAAAAACCCTGTCTTGTTGATGGGTTTCACTCTCAAGCAACGACCGCTAATGTCAGAAGCTCTTGGCAACAATCCTTTGCTGTTCCCCTGGCCAGGCCGCCCTCCTCTTGGCTCCAGGATTTCATTTCACAACAGCATTCCCCTTGCCACGTGTCTGGGGGGATGATCTGGCCTCATGAGTTATTAAAAGACAAGAAGCATCAGATGAGAAGAACCGCTGCGTCTTCCCACCCCCCCACTCCACCACTCCTGCCTTCACCCGATTACAGTGGAAGCCATGAAGACGGGTCCCTGCCCCCATCAACCGCTGGCTCCCCATTTACTCATTAGATCCCATCCCCCAGCCCCGCTCCCCCTTATGAACAATGTCTCCATTTCTACAGGATCAGTCTCATCAGCATACAAACATGGGTTAGTATCTACCTTATTAGAAAACAAAAACACAAACACCTCCCTTGGCCCTCCCTTCCCTCCAGTTACTGACTGTGTGTGGCGGATGAAGGGTGGGTCTAAAGGTCACGGGGAGCCACTGCAGGCTCCAGAGTAGCAGGGCGGTGGCAGAAGAAGAGCGACACAGAGGTCAGCCCAGCAGCATGGGCAGGACGCATGGTGCCAGGTGGAAGGGCTCAGGGGAAGCAGAGGTAGGTGTCCAGATGCGGAAGGGTTGCAAGGCAGCAAGGAAATACGTTGGGGCCTTGGCATCATCCTTCACCTGCTGAGAGCCAAGCTCAGTGCTGGGTCCGGGAATAATCGAGGAGGTTCTGAGACAGACCCCTACTTTCTTGGAGCTCAGACTCTGGATCTGAGATGGGGCCACAGCCCAGGGACTTTGGCAGCCCTGAGGGCAAGGGGAGAGGTGATAACAGACTGGACTCATGACTGCCACCTGGGCCCTCCACCTGGGCCCTCCCCCACCACAATGGAGTATGGGTTCCAGGACTGTTTTTTGTTTTTTTTTTTTAATTGGGGAATTGGGGGGGATGGGAACAGCACTGGGGAATTGGGGGAAGGGGAACAGACAAGTTGCTGTCGTTTTGTTCTTCAGTCTAGTTGTGGAGGACGTCGCTTCACTGGCCCAAGTTGGCACCATCATTGTGCTCTTCCCGGGCGAGGCAGATCAGTTGCCAGCAACTGGACTGCCGCTCACTGCAGCTGCTGGCCGCTCATGCTGGCTGCTGGCTACACACGGTAGCCCATGGCAACCCACTGCAACAGGAGCTGCAGCCTATGCCGTCGCCGGCTACTCACGGCAGCCCAGCTCCAGGTTGAGCTGTTGTTCAGCATCTTAGCTGTGGAGGGCAGTGTCACTCGCCCTCATATGTGGGATCCGAACCGGGGCCCTCTGGCGTCCCAAGCCAGCTCTTAACCATTGCGCCACTCGGCCGGCCCCCAGGACTGTTTTTGATATTTATTTGTTTTAAGCCTGAAAGAAATCGAGCATTTCCCTTAATTCAGGAAAACAATCGATGGAGCCTTTGGCAGGGGGAAAGTTGGGTCTCCTTTCTGGGCTGCAAAAGTCTCAACTGTAATTATTTTCAACACTGCCGTTTGCGGAGCACTTACTCTGCGCTAAGTGCTTTATTCACATTATCTCACTCCTCAGATGTCACTGAGAAAAGTGACACAATCAGATTCACTGGGTAACACCAATTTAGTGTGGACGAGGTGGCCAATCATGACACTGGGGACTTAATGCTGAAAGGAGCTTATGTTCTACTTGGAGGGGAGGCCATTTAAACATGAACAAATAACTAGCCTTTCTGCAGACAGCAATAGCGCAAACCAGGACAGACAAGGGGAGGGAATTGGAGGCAGATGATGATTCTCTGATGGAGTGCTCAGCAGTTCAGGAGGTGCCACTGAGTCAAGGCCTGAATGACAGAAAGCATCGAGCCATGCACAGATCTGGAAGAACTTCTGGGCAGAGCCTGCAGCAGCGGCCAGGCCCTGATGAACATGAGCTTGTCAAGACCAAACCCAGCAAGGAGGCCAGAGTGGGGGAAGGAAGAAGCTAGGGAGGGAGAGAATGGGAGAAGAATTCAGAGGCGTGGCAGAGGCAGATCACCCAGGGCCTTGAAGTCCAGGCTGAGCATTTGGAATGAATTCTAAGTCTACACTAAGCCATTGAAAAGTTTTAGGAGAGAAAGTGAGATGAGCTGATGTAAGCTAGAAACACTGATGTAGCAGCTGGGTGGATAATGAACTTGAGTGGGGGCCGAGGGTGAACGGAGACCGTGGCAGCAAACTATTATAGATAAGAGATGATAGTATGACTCGGCTCAGGGTGGTAAGAGCAGAGATGCGGAATGTGCGTGGCTTTGACATAGATTTTGGAGGTGGGGCCAGTAGGACTTGCTGACGGGCTGCCTGGTGGAAAGGTAAGTTGGAGAAAGAAAGGAATCAAAGGGGCCTCTCGGTCTGGGGCCCGAGGAACAGGTCATGTCACTGACCGAGTTGGTGACGCTGGGGAAGGAGTGGATGGGAGGCACCTATGGTTCTATTTGGGTCATGTTCAAGATACCCAAGAAGAAAGGTTCAGGAGGATGTCTGTTGTTAGAAAGGACAGAGAAGTCAGGATTGGAGATGTAAATGTGAGAAAAATGGAGATAACCTCTAAGGAAGGAGTGAACTTAGAGCAGGAAGGAGTCTGAGGACGAATCACTGGGTCTCCACAGCGTTTAGAAATGGAGCAAGAACAAGAAAGGGGCCGCGAAGGAGGCCAGGGAGGAGCGGCCGGTGAGAGAGTGGGAATCCAGAGAAGAAAGCGTCTCCAGAAGGATGGAGTGGCCATCTGTGGCCATCGTCGCTGAGAGGTGGACTGTGAGGAGGGCAGAGGCCTGACCATGGCCTTGCAAGAGCAGCTCTGGCGAGTGGTGGGCAGAAGCCTGTTTGGAGATGGGAGGATAGTGGAGATGGAGGACAGCCAAGTCTTTCAAGGAATTTTGCTCTAAAAGAAGAGTGGAGTGCTGGGATAGTAGCTGGAGGGGTTTGTAGTATCCACAGAGGTTATTATTATTATTATTATTATTATTATTATTATTATTATTTATTTGTAAGAAGGAAGATAATATAGCATGTTTACACGCCGATGGGAGTAATCTGGTGGGGAAGGTAGAGCTGGTGCTTTAGAAAGAGAAAGAGAGTGGCAAGAGCTGCATCTTTGATGGGAGCTGGATGGGAGCCTGCATGGCATGGCCTGGTTGGAGGTGGGCTGGGGATAGCCCATCTCCGTAACAGGAGGGGCAGAGGCACGAGGTGGCTGGATTTGCTGAACGAATCAGTGGGAATTGATTGAGTGCCTACCATGTGCTGATGGCTGGGTGGATGTGGATAAAAGAGGCAGATGAGGTCCTGCCCTCATGAAGCTTACCTCTGATCGGGCGGGCAGGCAACGGGCATGGACAGGCTGTGCCAACTGCAGTGGAGGAAAGAAATGAGTGATGGGACCCAGAGTAACTCACTCAAAACCACAGCTTAGTGGGAGGCACGTGAGATTTGGGGGACATCCTCCAGGGGCCCAGAGAAGAATCCCCTAGAGAGTGGGTGACGGGAAGAAACTTTGTGGGACAGTCTGGCTGGCTGGAGGCTTCCCCAATTCCCTCCCCCTTTCCTGTCCCCAGGAGGTGAGGGACACTCGAGAAAGGAGGGAGCTGGACAATGCCCAGAAGCAGCCTCAGGAGCCCACAGTGGCCACGGGTGCCCCGAACCTTGGGGCCACCAGGCAAGGCTTCATGAAGTGCTTGCTGGAGGTGGAGGAGGAGGAGGCCACACATCGCAGGGCAACCAAGGCCCTGCCAAACCGGAAGTCCCCCAAGACCCTGACCCCTGTGCCCACCTCAACCCCAGTTGGCAACTCAGCCCCAAACCAGCCTCCGGCCCTGCCTCATACCCCTTCCTCGGCCCCCGCCACGGCCCCATCCTGGGCCAGGCTGCCAGCCCCTGGGCCAATCCCTGCCTCCGTACCCGTCACAGTCCTGCCAGCGCCTGCCCAGGACCTGGGCTGGAGAAGGACAGAACTCTTGTACCAGAGCGGTGAGAGGAGCCTGAGCTATGCCAAGGCACGGTAGGAGCCACCCCCAAAAGGGCATCCAGGATCACAGCCTGTGACCCTGTGTCACTAGCATCTCTCTCCCAGACCCTCGTCTCTGTCTGTTTTCCTCTTGTGTCCCTCTCTCCATTTCTCCTCGCCAGCCTGTGCTCTCTCTCTTTCGCAGCTCTCTCTTCCCACATCTAGGGCTCCTTTCCCATTCCTGACCCCTTTTCTCTTTCTAACTCCCCACAACGGTGTCCCTTGTGTCACCTCCCTTCATCTCTGCCTCACTCCTCCCCTGGGTCACTCAGCCCCCCCTGACCTCTCAAAGCCTCCCCAGGGTCCTTCCTGCCTGGGCTTCCCCCTGGCCTCCCCTAGCTCTCGGTGGCAGCCTTGGGCAGGGCTGGGGGACTGGATGAGTACCCTGGGCCCGGGGTTCTGTCCCCTGCAGGCAGGAGCCGGGAGAGAGCGGCCTCCTCAGGTTGTGTCAGAACTGGGAGGAGCGGGCCGAGGACCAGCTCACCCTGAAGCAAGAGGAAGGTGAGGCAGGCCAGGCCGGCGAAGCCCCTCGCAGGGGCAGGCAGAACCCTCAGTCCTTTGGGATTCATAGACCCAGGGTGGGGGGTGGCTTACAGATCATACCACAGCCCTGTGGAGTGCACCAAGGGGGACTATCTGGCTGGAGGACAATGCAGAGTGAGAGGTTGACCCAAGCTCACACACCGCTGGGTGGGGGGCCAGAAATCATGCTGGGTCCTATCCTCGGGGTCCAGTTCTCTTCCCAGTTCCAGGGCCGCCTCTCTGAGTGATGGAAGCAAGCCTGCCAAGCGCTTTAGGTTTTAGAGGCATTTTTGCCTCTAAAGCCTGAGCCCACCTGCTCTATTGGTCCTCTTTAGAAGCAACCTGTATGGGAGGCAGGGCTCCAGGACCCCCCACCTGTCCTAGACCATCTTCCACCTTTTAACGAGACTGCCTGCCCTGGACAGGTCCCCATGTCCCACCGCATTCCACCCCCACCCAAAAATGTGAAAGACCTGAACACCCACCCAGAGCATGGCCTGTGTGTGCCCTTGGCTCCCTGTTGTCCTTGGGGCTGGGCTCTGGGTCTCCTCTTACCCACCATGGGATGGGGAGCTATCACTGCTTCCCATGGGCTACCCTGCTCTGATGGTCCAAACCACCATGCATTTTCGATGATTGGAACTGCTTTTGAGAGTTGTTTTGTTTTTGTTTTGTGTTTCTTTTTCAGTGTACCTGCTCACAGCACGTCACCACTCACCTCTACCCAAATCCTAGCCCTAGCTCTTCGCCACGTTTCTGTTCTGTGTGTCAGAGGCTTGTAGACCTACAGCGTCTATTATGTGCCAGGCTCTGAATTAATACAACCACTCTTGGAGGGTGTATTGTTGTTCTGCCCATTTTACAGATAAAGAAATCGAGGCTCAGAGAAGTACAGTGACTTGCCCATGGCTACTGTATTAGCTTGCTCAGGCTGCCTTACCAAAGTACCACAAACTGGGTGGCTTAAAATTTATTTTCTCATAACTCTGGAGGCTAGAAGTCCAAGATCAAGGTGCTGGCATGTTTGCCTTCTCCTGAGGCCTCTGTCCTTGGCTTGCAGAGGGCTGCCTTCTCCCTGTGTATGCACGTGGTCTTCCCTCTGTGCACGTGCATCCCTGGTGTCTCCCTGTGTGTCCAAACTTCCTCTTCTTGTAAATACACCAGTCAGATCGGATTAGGGACCACCCTAGTGGCTTCATTTTAACTTAATCACCTCCTTAAAGACCTCTTTAAATATAGTCACATTCTAAGGTATTGGGGGTTAGGGCTTCTACTTATGAATTGGTGGGGGTGAGGGGCACAATTCAGCCCATAACAGCAACCCAACTTGTTATTAAATGGCAGAGCCAGTCTTCTTACTCAGTCTGTTGCTTCTAACCCACATTTTGCTGTGGGCTGAGAAACCAGACGCCACACACATTATGACCAGAGCACAGCTTTTGTACTAATTGGCACTGCTCTGAGATTTTCTCGGTATCCTGCCTGGTCCTGGGCTCTGGTCCGACGACTGAAGCTAACCTAGAAGCCATGTCCATGCAGGTAAGTGACCACAGAGCACCGAAGTCAAGGGCGCAGACTTAGAGTCAACAAGTCTAGTCACCTCATCTCTGAGCCTCAGTTTCCCCATCTTTACAAAAGGAACAATCATTATGCTCTCGCAAGACTGTCATAAGAATTAAATGAGAACATGGCTGTAAAGAGCTTAACACAGTGCCTGGCACATAGCGGGATGCCCTAAAGTGGGCATGACCCTGATGCAAAGTGAAGGTTGCTAATTAGCTTAGCTTTTGCCACACCATCTGGGCCCATGGCTTGGCCTTGTATAGAGAGTGGAGTGAGAAGATGGGACCACACCCCTCCACTTTCACTCTGTTGGTTCCTTTGCCCCTCCGCCTGGCCCTGGTGGTAGAGGACGCAGGGCAGGAGGGTGGCTGGAGGGGATGGGATAAATGATAGAAACAAGAACTGTCCCCACCTCACTTAAACCCCTTGTCCACCCCAGCCTTCCGCAGTTACTTTGAGATCTTCAGTGGCCAAGGAAAGGTGGACGCACGCAGCCTGGAGAACATCCTGCTCGTTATGGGCATCTCCCTGACGCCGGCCCAGGTGGAGGAAGCCCTGAGGAGTGCTGACATTGATGGTGAGTGGAGGGGAGGAGGCTTCATTCTGTGTCCCAGGCAGGGCCAGCTTCATGGGCCGTGTGAGACCTGTGCAGTCACACAGGGCTCCATGTTTAAAGGGCCCTGCCCTTGATTGAATGTTCGCAGTCTGCAAATTCTTGATTATTTTTATGTTTTTATTTTGCACTGGACGCCACAAATTATATAGCTTGTCTTGGCCCTAAAAGTTAATGCTCTCTGAGCACCTACTCAATGCCAGTTCTGGGGACCCGGAGATGACCAAGACCTACCTCCTGACCCCAAGATATAGGTGATCTCTGAGATTCCTTCCTTTGAGGTCCACGTGTGTGCTTCACCAGACATTCCCCATGATGTGGTCACTTGTTTTACCAGCTGTATGACCTTAGACAAATCACTGAAGTTCACCAAGCCTCAGTTTCCCCATCTGTACAATAGGGCTGATGGCAATACCCATTTCACCAGGCTGCTGAAAAGATTAAATGAGATAATCCAGGCAAAGCATTGAGCACAACACTTGGTGCACAAAATGTGTCTAGGAGACATTAACTGCTAGTATTATGCATCCACTAAATATTAAATGCCTACTGTGTGCCCATCCCTGTGCTGAACACTGTGGATAAAGAGATGTGAAAGACCCACATGACCTGCGCTCGAGGTGCTCACACAGACAGTGACACAGAAGAGTCAGCAAAGGAAGCAGCACTTAAGGTGGCTTGGAGGAAGGGATCAGGAAGGAAGGCTTCCTGGAGGAGGTGATGCCTGATCCAAATTGTGAAAGATTAAGCAGGAGTTAGGCAGGGAGAGAAGAAGGAAGAAGGATGTTCCTGGTGGTAGAAATAACCTAGACAAAGAGAAGAGAGTGCAGGGCAAGTTGAATCACATGTGGTGTGGTTGGCTAGACTCAGAGTACGGGGAGCAGCGGGGCCGGGGGGGGGCCTGGGCTCCTGACGACTGTGACTCCGACTCTGCTTCCTTCATTACTGCACATGTGCGAATCCTCACACACAAGCCAGGAACTGACCCCAGCTCTGCCCCAAAGTGACCCTAGGCAACAGCCTTCTTTTCTCTGCGCCTCAGGCCTCATCTGTGACTTGGGGATAAGAGTATTAAGCACCTCCAGAGGGTGCATTTAAGGATTAGAGACCATTCACTCATCTGTCTAGTAGTTCAGTGAACATTTGCTAAGACCTACCCATCTCAAGTCCCGAGGACACAGCACAGAACAAACCAGACCCCGTTCCTGTCTCCCAGAGCCTCCATTAAATCCCAGATCTTCCGAGCATGTGGTTAAGTACAGGGGTCTTATGAGAGGGTTTGATGGGGGATCTGACCTGGGGCGGTCTGACTTCTCTGAAGAAGCAGTGTCAAGGAGGGAAGAACTAAGTGAAAGAGTTGGAGGGTGGTGGGAGAGACTTCTAGAAAGAGGAAGTAGCATGTGCAAAAGCCCTTCACAGGAAAGAGGGTGGCCCCTGGTGGGGGAACAGGTTAGTGCTGGGGGAACTGGGCACCAGGTGAGGCTGGAGACAGGTAATAGGCAGGTCTAGCAGGGCCTTGAAGGTCAAAGTGGGAATCTTGTGTGTACATAGGTGTCCTCCTGCAGCACCCAGTAATAACAGCCGCTGACATTTACTGAGCATGTATTATATGTATGGTCCTGTTTTAAGCACATGGCCTCATTTTATCTCCCATGAGATAGGTGTCATGGTTAGCCTCATCCAGTGGATGGGAAAACGAAGGCTTAGTGGGGTTGAGAGACTGCCACGGTCACATGGATAGTAAATGGTGGACCTGGGATATGAACCCAGACTGCTTGCCTCTAGGACTCAAGTCCTGGGAGCTTTTCACCCAGGAGATTTTAATTTTCACCTTCAACTTCTCTGTGTGTTCTATGCTTTCTGTGCTGAACATGCGTGACTTTTATAATCAAGCCCAATGAGTAAATACTGATAACCGTGCCTGGGTTGCAATGCCTGAACCCTCTTTGGGAAGCCTGGGCCCACCCCGTATTCTTTTGGCCTCCACAGGAGACGGTCATGTGGGCTTCAAAGACTTCTTGGCCGTGATGACAGACACCAGGCGCTTCTTCTGCTCCATGGGTGAGCAGGGCACGAACCCAGGGCAGTCAGAGCTGAGGGAGGGGCACCCAGCGCTACCAGATGCTAATGGCAGCCACCATCCCATGTCCCCAGAACAGAACGCCCTGACGGACATGGCTCTCCCGAACCCCCACACTCTGCTCTTTGAGATCCTGTCTCTGCTGGTGGAGATGCTGGCCTTACCTGAAGCAGCCTTAGAGGAGATCACCAAGTGAGTAGGGCTGGCTGTTGCGGGGTGGAGGGTTGCAGACACAGAAATGGCAGCTAGCGTTTGACAGCTGAGTACTTTTTTTTTTTTTT